CTGCAGTGAATGGGTGCCGTCAGAATGAGAGTCCAAACAGCTGATAAAAACATCACAGTAATCCACAGCACTCCAGTCCATCAGTGAACATCTGGAGAAGACAAAAGCTGAAACTAATCCAGCATTAAGACGCTTTTAACTTAAATGCATTGAGTGCATAATCCATAATAACTCTTCCTCCAGTGTGCATCTGCTGTTGTCTCTCGCATAAAAATGCAGCCACATATGTGTTTAGAGCTGTTTAAACGCTGCTTGATCTGTGCAGATTTCTCTCCTGATTCACACCAGAACACTTTTTCACTGGAGGAAGCGTTATTATGGATTATGCACTCAATGCATTTAAGTTAAAAGCGTCTTAATGCTGGATTAGTTTCAGCTTTTGTCTTCTCCAGATGTTAACTGATGGACTGGAGTGCTGTGGATTACTCAGGATCTCAGGATGATATATGATCAGTGTGGATCGTGAAGCTGTGGGTCTGGTGTGAAGCTCAAACCTTCAGTCTGGTGGTCTTGTCGTGCAGAACGATCATTTCTCTGCGGATGTTCACCAGTTTGCTGTGATAAACTTTGGCCTCTGTGAACTGAAACACATGGGCTGTGAGTCTGACGAGGCTCTTACCATCAAACACACGACTGACACTCACCAGCGCGTTCAGATCAATCGTGGCGTTGCACTCGCGGACCTTCGCCACCTCCTGATCCAGCGTCTCCAGCAGAATCACCTGGTTTTGTCTGGAAGAGAAAATAAGAGATCATTACAGTATTCTGAACCCAGTTTCTATTGTGAAACTCTATTTTTCAGTCTGATCAGATAATAAGGCTCATCTACTGAATACAGAACTTCTCTCTGCTCGTGTTTCATGAACCAAACCCAATGTGACCCAAAACATTAGTGTCAAAAATCACAGACTTCCTGTCACACAGGAAATGGAAGGTGGAGTCGAGCACATTGCATTATGGGATGCAGTGTGATGTGCGAGACATACTTCAGCTCCTGCAGCGCTCGCTTGGAGGAGCACAGCTCCGGCAGATAATGAGAGAGAAACCCGTCTGTTAGACGCTCGACCGTCTGTTCATCCACACACACCAGATCCTCCAGCACACGGCACACTGCAAACACACACAAGCGCACACACACACACACACACACACACACACACACACACACACACACACCCAAAAACAAGCCAACCCACAAAAACACACACACCCCCCCACACAAAAACACACACACACACACACCCACA